AAGAGTAACAAATCAATTAAGCACTATTTACTCCTACCTATTATATTTGCATAATCATGCTCAATGCAATGATGCCTCAACAACTGATTCATTGTAGAAATTTTCCAGCTTTCAGTATATCATAAAGTATTTAAGGGGAAAAAAAAAGAAAAAGTGGTGTGATGTGCAATTGAGTAGCAATTTGCACACGTGGCTTATAAACTGTTTTTAATTGTAGTTTTCTTATGTGTCAGCGTACAGAATAATTTGTCAATTTGGTCTTTTACACAGCATGTATTTTTAAATATTTGACTCAATCGATGAGTGGTGTATCACATGTAAGTAGAACATCAACAAAAGACAAATCTTAATAACGTAAGTTCTAAAACCTTTACACATTTTAACCCTCCGTTAGTCGCTATCGGTCTCACACACCGACGACAAATTATTCATTCTGGATTTACAAATAACTGTTATTTTTCTATCGCCACTTTCTGTACCTCTCCCTATCAACCAAACTCGTGTTAGTGTACATTCTTACCTTCCTGGATACAGTTGTATGAGTTTTATAGTTATTTTCGGTGCCAGACTCCGTAGCGACTAACGGTGTTGCTATTACTTATTGCAGAACTTGCAGAACACGTAAATATTTATCACCTTATTATTGCATTTTATCGGTAAGTTTTTGTCAATTCTTTTTTATAGATGTCCTTTGAAGCCGAACAACTTTGATTCCAACGCTTGTTGGAATTAGGGACAATGGATCCTACCGACGATGAAAATTATTCTGACGATGAGGGAAGTGAAAGCGAAATCGATCAAACTGAGGAACGTGATGGTGGAACAATCGGAACAAGATGTGACAGATGAGGAAGAAGAAAGTGGAAGTAATATCTTAGCGTTTATTGGAAAATATAGAGTTACTAGATGGAAAAAGGCTATTCAACCGTGAAATGTTAGAACAAAACAAGAAAATTACATAGTAGGTAATAAAAACTAATGTTTATATTTTGAGAACGATATCCGAAGTGGAAATTAAAACGTCAATAAACTTACTTTAACCTTTAATTGTGGCTTATTCCCATTTTAATAGTAATTACTTTAAAATGCAACGAGAAAATAGCTTGAGAACAATATTCACAATATATTGTTATACTAGTGTTTTTCATTTTGTATCTGTTTTTTTTTTCAATAAAATATTTTCAAAAATATTTTTTCAGTTATTTCCGTGCACAATATAAAACATTTGTATGAATTTTATATTAAAAACTATTTTTTTTAATTGTCGGTCTCTGACACCGTAGCGACTCTTGATGCTCAGTTTTTGCTAGCGACTAACGGAGGGTTAATATATGTTTCGAGGATGCTGTACTAACAGTCGCAATTTATTTCAGTCTTTTTCCTGATGATGAAAATAAACATTTTCGAAAACTTGAAACTTAGTTAAAATAGTACACTTATTTCACCGCTGCTAATCCCAATAAACCTCAAAGCTCCGTTTTTCTAACGATGTCAGCAAAGACTTATTTTTCCTTATATATATATATATATATATATATATATATATATATATATTATATATATATATATATATATATATAAGGAAAAATAAGTCTTTGCTGACATCGTTAGAAAACGGAGCTTTGAGGTTTATTGGGATTAGCAGCGGTGAAATAAGTGTACTATTTTAACTAAGTTTCAAGTTTTCGAAAATGTTTATTTTCATCATCAGGAAAAAAACTGAAATAAATTGCGACTGTTAGTACAGCATCCTCGAAACATATATTAAAATGTGTAAAGGTTTTAGAACTTACGTTATTAAGATTTGTCTTTTGTGGATGTTCTACTTACATGTGATACACCACTCATCGATTGAGTCAAATATTTAAAAATACAATGACATGGTGTAAAAGACCAAATTGACAAATTATTCTGTACGCTGACACATAAGAAAACGACAATTAAAAACAGTTTATAAGCCACGTGTGCAAATTGCTGCTCAATTGCACATCACACCACTTCTTCCTTTTTTCCCTTTTTCTTATGAAGTACTACAGTCTTATAAAGTACAAAAAGTTGTTTGAAGTTTAAAAACCAAAATTGTATACTAAATACTTAGATATACTGAAAGCTGGAAAATTTTTACAATGAATTAGTTGTTGAGGTATCATTGCATTGAGCATGATTATCCAAATATAATAGGTAGGAGTAAATAGTGCTTACTTGATTTGTTACTCTTTTTGTTCATTGCATTGGCATTCTGAGAAATAAATACCATTTCTAAGAACAGTCTTTTAGTATAGTTGGACTCTGTAGCTAAAACTCTGATCGATTTTTGAACAATCTTGCCAGTCTGGGTGTTATGCCTTTAACGTATTTTAAAGAAGTGTATAAGCAATTGGCATTCAGTTCTCCACTTGTGTCAGTAATCTGCAACTCATCATTTTTACGTACCATGTTACGGGTCAAACTGAATAATAACTAAACAAACTAAAGACTAAACAGAAATTGGCAAGAGAATACAACAAGAGGTGTTTTCTATTACGTTGTAGATCATCTAACACAGCGGTTCTCAATCTTTTTTGGTGACGGAACCCTTTTGGAAAGCGAAATACTTGACGGAACCCTATAATAAAACAATAGTTTTTAAAAGTGTATTCTTTATTAATAAGCATAATAAAAGTACAATGTAACAGTTAGTTATTACTTACTTACATAACAAGTATAATAATAGAAATTATTAAAAAAGAAAAAAATCTAACTAATGGGAGGTATGAAACTGTTTTTTATTTTTCATCAATTGGTTGATATCAGGTTTGATAGAGGACAGTTGAAGTCTCATATCAGGTTCGGCGTCCAGTCTATTGCGGTATTTTGTTTTCGTAGCTGCATAGGTTGAGAATCCTGTTTCGCACAAATATGTTGTTGGGAACGGGAGAAGAATATTTAGTGCCATTTTGGCAAGCATTGGATATTCATCACGAATTCTGCACCAAAAATCGTTGAGAGGCGTCGTTTTGAACAGTGCCTCCAAACTTGTGTCTGATGACATTTCTAAAAGAGATTCATATATCTCGTTTGGCATACTTTCGGGCTTTTGTAAGTTGGGTAAAAAAGGATTATGAATCCATGAATTCAGTTTCATTTTTGTATTTTGTTCTTCGGGAAAATACTTCTCAAAAGATGCGCGCATCGAAGTGAGATATTTGACCAATTCCTCAAATACATCATCTTGAAACATTTCTGAATCGTTATCACTAACAAACTCACTGAGTGAGGTAAAGCTTTCGATTTCTCTCTTTCCAACGCAAATAATCCAAAAATCTAATTTTCTTTTGAAGGCTGTTATTTTGTTACAGGCCTGGAACACTGTTGTCTGTTTACCTTGCAATGATACATTTAATTCGTTCAGTTTTTGAAAGATATCCGCCATAAAAGACAGTCGGAACAACCAAGTTTTATCATACAAACGGTCTTTCAAATTAAAAGCAGTATCTGAAAGAAACATTTGTAACTCGGCTCTAAGTTCAAATAGCCTTGTTAAAGTTTTACCCCAAGACAGCCATCGCACTTCTGTATGGAGCAGCAGTGTTTTATGTTTGCTGCCATAATCTTCACACAATGATGAGAATAATCGGGATTGTAGTGGTCGTGTTTTGATAAAATTAATTATTTTTTACCGCTTCATCCATAACTAATTTTAGATTTGACGGCATTTGCTTCATCGCAAGTGCTTGTCTATGCAGGATACAATGGCTGGAACTACAATTAGGCGCTTTATTTTTTATTCGTGACACTAGTCCTGCTGTATTACCCGTCATTGCCTTGGCCCCATCTGTACAAATGTCAATGCAATTGTTCCAACTGAGATTATTTTCCTCAAAAAATATATTTATTTTATTAAACATTTCTTCTCCGGTAGTTTTTGTGGGCAGCGGTGAACACATAAGCATATCTTCTTCCAAAGAACTTTCATATGGATATCTCACGATAACCAGCAAGATAGCCAGACCAGCGACATCAGTAGACTCATCTATTTGCAAGACGAAACGTGTTTCTTGTAGACGTGTAACTAGTTCTTGTTTGACGTAGCTTGCCAGATCATGAATTCGCCGTGAAACAGTATCGTTTGATAGCGGCACAGTAGAAAGATGCTTTGCAGATTTTTCATCGAGCATACATTTTGTTATGTCTAACACACATGGTTTTATTAAATTCTCAGCGATAGTGTGCGCTTCACCTGCTTGTGCAATGCGATAGCTAACTAAATATGATGCCTCTGTGGCCTTTTCATTGATAGTTTGGGTTACATGCATCATAGTTTTTTGACTTTCCAATAACTGTTCTTTTTTACGTACAAAAAATTCTTTATTCTTGTCTTTAGACTCAGGGTGTACAGTTTCTAAATGTCGGCGCAACTTGGCAGGTGCCATGGAACTATTAGGAAGCAGTTAACTACATAACATGCAGAGAGGTGAGCCTTTGGAATCAACAAATCCGAAACTGATATATGATTCATCATACTTCCTTTTTTTCGCCTTTGAAACCGTGGAACTTGACGTCGTTGCATAATCGTCTGGATCGGTAATTGCTGTATACTCCGCGCGAACTACTTTTGAACATTCGGCTTCGTTAGAAGATGTTGTTGCAACACGTTTAACGCATTTAAGCCAACGTTCCATTCTTCTTTATTAATAATGTTACATGTCAGGATGGTGGGGTCAAAATAACGCACGATCGTTACTGCGTAAAAGAGTTTAGTCCAAAGAAGAAATGTACAATCAGAATACAGCAGTAGAACAATAAACACTTTGTTTCTAGCAGGTAGGTACCAGAGATGGGCATCGACGAGTCGACTTTAATTGTCGACACAGACGTGTCGACAATGTCGAGAACGTGTCAACAATGTCGACAATGTCGACAATGTCAGCAACGTGTCCATAATGGAAAAAAGTGAGGTTATGTTTATGAAATTATTCAGTTGTAAACTTTGAATGTGATCTGATCTGATCAGAATCAAAATGAGTGGCAGAAAACTGAATAAAAACTATGATATATTATCATTCAAAGTATTAAAGATAGAAGGAAAGCACGCGGCTAAATGTTGTGTATGTGGAAATGTGATAAAAAATACAGCTGCAGCAAGATTGCAAAAGTCACAGGTAAGAAGAAATATTTTAATTAATTTTAGCTGGATAGCTATAGAGATTTATTCTCTGTAATTGATATTTGTATCGGCTGATAACTAACCCCGTCCCGTACTTTCATTTTAAGAAACGTCTGCAAGTTAGATCGTGGCAATGGTAATCAATCCAATAATGAAATGTCGCATGTTTCGATATACGAAAATACTGGCTCAGACACAGGTTTTACACCTACAGTTAATCCACAAGTGAGTATATAGGACGTATGTTCTACTACATATTTAGCAGGGGCGGATCTAGAAAAAATTTTGGGGGGAACTTTTTGAACTTACATTTATCTATAATATAAAAATGAATCGTAAAATGTGTTCGGAGCCGCATAACTCAACAACGCATGGATCACCATTTCGGTAGTAGTATATTGGAGAAAACATGGCGTCAAAAACCGTATAGCCATCTAACGGCAAGAAGTGAAAATAACGCACTATATATTATTGTAGATTTCTTGATTACTATTTAATTAGAATTCGGAAGGGGACATAAATTGCATCAGTTTTTACCCCAGAATTTGTATTCTGAGGTTTTCACGTTGTTGCATCTCTATATACAGGGTGTCCCATTTAAAAAACACCAAGTTTAGTATTTTACGGCAAAAAACGGATTGGCCTATTGAATTAAGTACAAAACGCTGTATCTATGCCAACTTCTGTATACAGGGTGTCCGTAGATCCGCCCTTTATATTTAGTCACCTTAGAGTTTCTTTTTATTTTGAATTTTAGAATACAACGAACGGTAGTTACGAAGTTATGGAAGATGGTTCGCTAGCTATTGTGACTGGAACTTCACCTGAAAACATGCTAGATGGAATTATAGAAAATTCATTAGATACCGATGCCGCCTTATTGGAATTGGAAGAAAACAAGTCAATGTCAGTATGCGTACGACTATATATTATATATATATATATATTATATATATATATATATATATATATATATATATATATATATAGTCGTACGCATACTGTTTTTTATTATTATAATACCAAACTAGTTCTTTTATCAAACGTTTGACTTAATGATGAAATAATAGTTTTTCCATCTTAATTCATCTACAGTTAAATAACTATTTAACTTTTAGATGAATACTATTATGGTAAACCTATATTAAATGTCTATAATTATTTTAATGCGTCATAAAAATTATGAGAATACCAACAAACTCATGTGTATATTTATAGTAGTACATCCGAGATTATGGTAAAAATTATAGGAGGATAGGATATAGTTACATAACCAATATATTATACAAACAATTTATATATTTTATACTTTTTTATATAATCATGGCTAGCAATAAAAAAGAATTTCTACTTTTTTCGTATTGTAAGAGATATTTCAATATGTGTACTGTATCCCAGCTGACCTTATCAAACATGAAGCTAACAGCATTAAGCACCAGATTCCCAACATAATGGTCGAAGTATGGGAAGAAGAACAAATGCTAAAGGAATGGTGCACAAGAATCATATGTCCACTGCCCAAAAAGGAGATTTGTTGGAATGTAAAAATTATAGGGGTATAATTCTTCTGAAAAAAAAAAAAAAAATATATATATATATATTATATATATATATATATATATATATAATATATATATATATATCGGTTTCAAAAAGTCTTGCGTCGTTGTCTGATGCCTAATTTCCACGAATTTCTATCATTCCAGTGTTCTTCGGTCAAGTCTCGGGAGCTCATTGCCTTCGTTATTCCCTCCTTCCATGTTGTTTTTGGTCTTCCTCGTTTCTTACGATTTGGTGGTATCCATTTCATGGCGATTTTTGGTAGTCTTGTTTCTGGCCATTCTTTAAACATGGCCATACCATATAAGTTGTTTCCTTTCTATGTCTGTTGCCAGTGATCCATCTACCCCCATCCGATTTCTTATTTCATCGTTTCTAATTCTTCTCTGACCTAGATATTCGAAGTGATCGTCTAAATACATCCATTTCTGTTGCTTCGAGATTTCTTTTATTGCTTTCTGTTAGTCTCCGTGTCTCCATAGGTTAAGTTGGTTTTTATAGGAGATTCATTTATTGTATTTTCGTCTTTTACCAATTTCTGAGCTCCAAAGAACTCCGTTAAGGCATCCAAATGCTCTACGGGCCTGGGTTATTCGTTTTCTAATTTCCCTATTGTCTGTGCCTGTGGTGTCGAAATCAATTCCTAGGTAGGTATATTCAGTGCAGAATGCAATTTCGGTTGTGTCCATCTGAATGTTGGATAGTTCTACGCCTATTGGGAGATATTTTGTTTTTTGTGTATTGAGTTCTAAACCCCACTTTTTGTATTCTTCCTGTAGTTTTCTGGCCATATATGTCAGGTCTTCTTTATCGTTGGCTATAAGAACTTGATCGTCTGCAAACTGTAGGGTATATAGGCAAGTTTCTACCAGGTCAATGCCCATTCCTCTGCACTTTCTCTTCCACTGATACAGTGCTTTCGCCACGTAGATTTTAAACAAAGTGAGGGATATGCAACACCCCTGCTGGAGTCCCTTGTTTACAGGAAATTTTTTTGAAAGTTTATTTCCAATTTTTATTCCCGACGTTGATCCTTCATGAAGCTGTTTAAGGGCGTTAATTACTGTGTGGTTAATGTTTGTTTCCTGCAAAACTTTCCATAGCTTTTTAGCGGGTACAGTATCATAGGCATTCTGAAGGTCTATTTTATATAAGGTATAGTTCTGAAAACAATATGTAAAATATTCTCCAACTTCATGTGTAACCGTGTAGTTTTAGGAAGGTAGGTCAACAATTGATCATATTTTTGTGCCACATAAAAATCTTAGAAAAAACCAATGAATTTAACATTGATACGTTTCATCTCTTTGTACTTTAAGTCAGCGGTATGATCGGGTACTAAAGATGCCAATTATATGAAGCTATGAATAAACATTAAACGTATATTAAGTTAAATATATTGTAACGAGAAAGCTAATTTTAAGGTATCCCATTAACTGTTGCATCTCTTAAAGTGATGACGCATAGACCAGAATCTTCCAAACGAGGATATGCAGGATACACGACAAGGCCAGCGGGACGTTCATAATAGCGACGATAGAGATGGACTATTCTAGAAAATTCGGGAACCATATCTTTGTAATATAAAAGCCGCGCTGATATTAGTTTAGTTAGTTGATAAGATAATATCGTACTGTATAGCTTATTAATAAATATATTTACATAAATTAGAACCGTTTGTTTTATTGTTAAACACGTTACGATGCTGTTACGGTGTGGTAATTTATTTATTTAAAAACAAATTCAGCAGCGACTTTTAAAAATGATTTTTAACCTTTTTAAAAGTATTATTTATCAGGAACATCTGAGTAGTTCAGTAGTGATCTTTGTAAGGAAGAACAATTAAAAAGTAGGTGTGTGCCTGAACAAAGATGCGGCTTGCAGAACTATCAGTAATACAGTTACTTGAACAACTAGAAGAACGAGATGAAGAGTGCAGCAGATCCAAGAAGATCCTTCAAGAAGACTGAAGGATCTTCTCAACAAGAATAGAGATGACCTAAATACGTTCCAGTTTAATTAGCAGAAGAAACAGTGTCAACGAAGATCGAAGAAACTTCTACAAACTTCTTAAGTAATTAGGAACTAAGAATAATTAAGAGTTAAGGAGTATGCAGTCAGAACAATGAGAAATTCAAAAAAGTTTCTAGAATATTTGATAAGGTAGAAGAGAAGATTAAACAGTTAAAAACCATGACAACCAATACGAAAGTGTTACCTTCAGTTAATGCAGTAGTTTTAAAACCTATATTAGAAGAAGAATCACCGAGAAATGAAACGACACATCATATGAGATTTGATGGGAAGTCTTCTTGGTCCATATACCTTAGACAATCTAAAGCTATTGCGACAGCCAATTATCGGACAGAACAAGAAAAGAAAAAAGTAAAAGATAAAAATGTATAGATAAAAAAATTACCAGATCCTGTTTAGTCGACTAGACAAACGTTACGGAGATATCCATCTACATCAAGTCTACGAAGCATAACTAAGAAGTAGAATTCAGCGACCAGTGAAAATTTGCAAGAATTTAAGGCAGATGTTGATTGTATGGTGCGGTTGGTTTATCTGGAAGCACCAGACAACATTTGGAAAAAATTGTTGTGGATATCTTTGTCAATGAGTTAAAAGGCAGTGAATTATAAAACACTTTACCACTAACTAGACCGAAAGTTTTAGATGAAGCGCTCGTCATTGCATTGGAACACGAAACAGCTAGTCAAGCTTCAAGAAGCTATTGAGTACTAACTCGGAAGAAGGCTGAACAAAATGATAAACGTCTAAAAGAAATCGTACAGAAAATAGTTCATAACACGATGCTGAAGACACGCGAACGCAAATATTGTAATGTTTGCGACGTAGGTTACATTCGTCATAAAGTGCAAGAAAATAATACAAAAGTTAGAAGGCTAGAACAGATCAAACACTGGGCTCAAAGGTTCATTTAAATGCTTATGTTCTATTAAGACAGCAATGCAGTACAAATTGTAATCACTGTCGTAAATTGAAGTAAAGAATTGGCTTCGTGAGACGAACCACCATCATTAATGATCAATGACAGCTTCAAGTCCTACTTGAGCCAATTGTCTTGTGACGTCGGGTAGTGTATTTCAGCCAGAGAAACAGGATTCGTTCATATAGACATTTATTTCGAACTAACATATACAAATGAAAAAAAAAGTAATTAACGTTAAGTGTTTACTGAATATAATGCTTAAGTACAAGAACGTACTGTTTATTTATTTCGGTAGATGGGTGTGACGATATTCGATATGATAAACTAAGATATGACGATCGAGGAATTGAGGTCGTACTAGTTCTTCAACGCAGAACGAGTACTCGGACAGGGATAAGGATGTCTATCTAGTTCAACACACTAGATGGAAAGAATACGTCAATCTCGTTCAACGCACCAGATTGATGCGGTCAGAGGAAGGATTGTCAATCTCGCTCAGCGCGCCAGATCGACTGGGTTCGGAAAGGATTTGGGACACGTTCAACTCACCTGTCCCCAAGTTCGGATATTCTCAACTCAACGCGTCGAGAATGGTTAGCTGTCTTTCAGTTTCGACTTTTATACTATTCGAGACGGAACAAAAACGTGTTTTGTTTAACACATAGGCGTACTCTAGACGATAAAATATATTATCGTCACAGTCTAGTTCTAAAAGATGATCTTGTATATAGAACCTTTGAGAACGATGGTGATACAGAATGTAAGCTTTAGTTGATTATACCTAAAAGTAAAGTGTCAGAAGTATTGCGTGAGTTACATGACGGTGAATCAAGTGGACACTTTGATATTACGAAGACTTTACAAAAGGTTTGAAAACGGTGCTATTGGGTGAATTATAAAGATGATGTAAGACGATGGTGCCGCAAATGTGAACGGGGTGCAACCAGTAATGGTTCATTTGTTAACAAGAGGCACTTGTGAAACAGTAACAACAGTAACAAAGTTGTTGGCAGTCCTATGGAAACAGTTGTAATCGACATTTCGGGTCCATTTCTAGAAATCGATGATGAAAATAAGTATATCCTCGTAGCTATGGATTATTTTACAAAATGGACCGAGGCATACGCGATACCAAATCTAGAAGCTGCTATAGTTGCAGATATGCTGGTTAAAGAATTATTCATCTAATTTAGTGTTCCCTTGTAGATCCACTCCTATCAAGGGCGAAACTTCAAGTTAAACCTCTTCCAAGATGTTTGTAAAACGATTGGCGTTAATAAACCAGAACGACACCCCTACATCCTCAATCAGATAGAATGGTCGAGAGGATGAATCGAACGAGCGGACCATTTAAGTATAATCTTTCATCCGTAATCCAAAATAGTCACAAATTC